AACACACACATGAATTCTGCTTTCCTCCACACTGATGGCTCCAATGCATGAATAGCTCATAAACTGAGAGAATAAAGGCTTTTTGTAGGCTCCCTCCGCTCAGGTGCCTGATGGCACCAGTATAACCTTGGACAGTTTACCTGACCGCTCTGTGCTCCATTTCCTCATCTGTCAACTCTGCATAACTGTATTGAGTTGTGCACTGGTGACGAACCAATGGCCCGTGTGTTATTTTTAAGACAAAAGATGTTAATATAAGAGTTATTTTTTCTAAACTAAAACCTCCATTTTCAGGTTTATTGGCAGTGTTGGCACTTTGTGATAAACGAATGGGTTTTGAGTTGCAGTCTGGGCACTCACTCATCCCGAGGTCTGCCGTCACCGAGTTAGTGTACGTGAAATCCTTTTTAAAAACATTGTATTCACGTTTGCAGTACACTCCTTGTGAGAGTTGGTACCTGCGCGTGTCAATTCTCCCCTCCTCCCTTTCTGTCCTCCCTCCCCCTTCCCTCAATGGCTCAGTCAGGGCCTGGCCTGGAGCATAAAGGTATGTGCTCTCCCACTCTCCCTTGTTTAACCAGTGTCTGTGGATGACGCTTAGTGTCATTTCCAGCTGGTCAAACATTGCTGCAGTAAATAACCCTGGGAGTTCTGTGTGCAAATATGTGAGGAAAGCGCCTAGATTTTCTCGTGATGGGACCTATCAATCTGAAACGGGAAGTGGGGGTCTGAAGCACTGCTTTTATTAGAATGTGAAAGGATATGTAATTTTTAGAAACTTTTACATAACATAATTTATCATGTCAAGTATACAGTGGAGCCTTGACTTGGGAACTCAATCCATTTGCGAGGGATGGCTGTTAACTCAAGTTGGTAGTTAAGTCAAGACCGCTTTTCCCATACGAAATAAATGGAAATACCCATAATGCATTCTGAACCTCCCAAAGCTCCCCTTAACTAACTTCTGCATAAAAAGGGTTGTATAATGTCCATGTTTTACCAGAAACACCAATATTTTTCCTAGTGTATTCACCAGTTATAAAATGTGCCTAGTTTATCAGAAGCAATTTCATGCTATATTCACCATTCAAGTTGACATCGTTGGCTTGCAGGAAGGGAGGGTGAACTGGAAGGCAGTTACTATTTGGAAGGAGACTCCCCTTCCCTAAGAACAGGAATCCGGCTCTCCGACGTCCTCTCTCTCCTTGGGAATCTGTAGCCTACTAAGACCTGCTTCTGGCTCACTAGGTCTCAACCTTTTCAGAACTAAAAACTGTTCTAGGATTGTTTAACACTGTTGTGTAGTGTGACGTGACATTGTCGTTAAGCAAGTGAATGTGGCAGTTGTTTTTTTCTCTATCTGGGTGGGTCTTCTCTCCAAATGTTTGTAGCTCTGTCCATCTTTACAGCACTTCCTTTATTTCAGAAGAACTTCTCTGCACTTACCGTTGATACGCCCCCTCTTCAGAAAGCTCCTCAGCTGCCCTTCTCTGTTGCTTGGCCAGAAATTGCTGAAGTTTCTCTGCAGACAGCTCCTCTGAGTGTTCCTCCCCAGTTCCTCAGCATCACCACCGTCTACCTGCAAGCCCGTGGCCTCTGCTGTAGGGACAGTGTCGTCAGCCACTGGGTCAACTGAAGGCTCAGGCTCCTCTACACAGCCTTCAGTGTAATGTTAGGCCACACTTTCTTCCAGGCAGTGTTCTCAGAGAGACTTTGGCCCAGGATTTCTCAACTCCACACAGAAAAGAATGCTGTACCTGAGACCAACTGGGAGCACTTCAAGAACAGTTCCTTGGTGAATAGCTTCTCAGAGTTAGCTCTAACCTGCTGGCCCATAGGCTGTGGCAGAGGAGTTGTATTAGGAAGGAGGAACTCAACTGAAGCCATGGGAATTCTTCAGCCAATTCTTCCTCCAAATCTCATGGGTGAGCAGCAGCACTGTCCATGATGAGAGCCTTGAGTGGTAAACCTCTGTCTTCTAGATATTTCTTAACAGGACCAAACCTCCCTGAACCACCCAAGAAAAAGTACTCATTCTCAGGCTTTAGCATTAGATGTCCACATGACCCCTAGCCTACTCCTCATGACTTTGTTTTCCGAACACGCTAGGGGTCTCAGAGTGATAAACCAAGAGAGGCTTTATCTCGAGGTCACCACTCACAATTGGCATTTAGCTCTAAAGTTAGCCTATCCTTCATAGGCTTGGGATCTGGCGTTTTGGTCTCTTCCTGGGTAATATATTTTCTGGAAGAAAATGCCAATTTAATCACAGTTGAAAACTTAAGAGCAAAAGCCATTTGTCTGTGTCATCATTTCAAAGTGGCATGTGTAATTTTCAGCAGCCCTTTTATCAGCATTGGCTACTTCACCATGCCTAATTATGCTATGAACCCCAGTTCTTGCTCTAAAATTGTGAAACCACCTTTTCCTGGCATGAAATGTTTTGCCATTATCACTCACTGATGAATTATCCTTTATTAGATTTGCATTTATAGCCCTAGCATTTTCACAAATTATAGACTCAGGCTGTCTTTCGTTTATCCACACTAATAATAGCCTTTTTTTTTTTTAACCTCATCTAACACTGTTGATCATGACTTACTAATTTAAGTAACACCTTTAGCAACACTAGCTTCCTTATACAAATCTTTTCTCTGTATTTCTGTCAGGAAGGTGGATTTCAACATGCTGTACATATTAGCAAGATTAGTCACACAGCCAGACGTGGTGGCGCATGCCTGTAATCCCAGCACTTGGGAGGCTGACGCGGGAGGATCATTGCAGGTTCGAGTCCAGCCTGGGCTACATAGTGAGTTCCAGGTCAGTCTCAACTACATAGTGAGACCCTGTCTCAAAAACCAAA